CCATGTGGGGCCGGTGACTACGTTATTCGGAGACTACGCCACGGTTTCCAACCCTGTTGTTTTCCCATTCGGACTAGGGACCGGGAACGGCGGAATTCAACTTAGTGTTTGTTGCAATATACGTCGGTGCAGACGTTCATTTGAGTAAATTGACTTGACTTCATCATCGCTTATTTACAAAGGAATGAAGACGCGGTTAAGAATTTTCATTTTTATAACAGAAACCTTTGGAACAATATGCGTAGGTAGAAGACGTGCTTGCCAACGGATTTTGAACGTTTCTAGGCACTGCGTTTAAGCCAGTGTTCATAAGCATTATTTAGCTTAGCTTACTATTTTCTATCAATTATTTTAATGGATTAATTTGGATTCCGGTACCACTGTGGATAATTGAGGACGACCCGAAGCGCCAATGTATCTCGAGATTAATGCTTTTTAACTGTTCAACAGACCAGCAGACCTCATTGATACTAGGGTCGTTCTTGAGTGAGAATGGAATAGCCTGAATATGCATGCTACTATAAAGTACAGATTGCGTTTTCCGAAGAAGTTTCAGGCGGAACGAGACGCCGGTTTGAGCTGTAATTATATAAATAATTGACTGAACTAGATACATTTTCACGTGCGTTTTTAACCTGTATATAAAATAAATTGAAACGGAGTGACGAATGCCTGACCACTGTTCAATTCAGAGCAAGATCCACATAGATCTTGGATCTCACGGTGGTCATATGGTTCGCCTGAAAGACAGCCGGTGGCCGTCAGGAGTCGCAAACAGGGTTTCGCTGCACCACCAATGTCTATTCTGTCATCCAAGTCCACGCTGGGATAGTCTGAAGATCAAGTTACTTTGTCAGAAAGCCCAAAGCGGAAGATAGGGAATGTGGAAGTAGAGTCGATTTGCCTTCACGGGGCATCAGTAACGAGGACAAGTCAAGTAAGGTTGAAGGAAGTACTTCAAGCTTATCGGGCATGTGCCATGACATTTCTGTCGTCATCTGAACACAAGCAACGAATCCGAGTTCAATATGGTTCATCATCCAAACGCCGGGGGGGGGG